GGGAAAGAGAGAGAAAGAAGGACTGATGCATAAGAACGCAATTCTGTTTGTTGTTATTGCTTGTCACCGAGACTATAGCCTGGTGTGCTATGGCAGATCAAAGAAGCCAAGATCATTGCCCTAAAGAATTAATTCTTAAGTATTTCTATTTTAATGGAAAGAAAGTAAAAATAATTTGATTGCACTCATGCACATTTGATTTCAGTCCATATTTGTTGTAACTGAATTCTATCCTGCCTTGGATATCTTATGATAACTTAAAATAGTGTAATTGAACGTATGTATGAATTAAGCATGTGATAAAGTATAATGCATTCAGCCCAAGGTTTTTTGAGGTTATTAAACATTTAATCTGTGAAACTGTGGATGACTAAGGCATAGTTTTCAAATTTAGTCCAGATCTACACTGCAGGCGTTTACTGGAAAAAGCTGTTTTGGTTAGCGGTTTGATTTATGAATGACTTCAAGATGCCAGTAAAAGTTTCCTAAGGCAAGGCTGACCAACTTTGGTATGGCTGGGGGCTGCATGCAACACTGGTGTATGGCTCCAGGCAGCACACCACAGGGGCTACATGCTGTAGGGGTGCCTCCTGGTCAGTGCCAGTGGCGTGCAGCCTTTGGCTCCTGAGCCCTCCTGTGCCATGCAGAAGCAGGAGAGGCAGCTGCAGGGTCTTGTTGGTTGCATATTAACCACTTGTGTGGGCTGCCAGTTTGCAGTCCTGCTCTAAGGCAGGGGTGGCTAACCTGTGGCATGCATGCCATGAGTGGCATGGGCACGTGGCAGATTGAGGAAGGGACACGCATCACAGCAGCATATGTGCATTCACTGCAGGAAGCAGAAAGCAAAGCAACAGATTGGGCAAGGGAAGGGGATTGGAGTGGCACTCAGAAGGGTGCAGGGCTAATTTGTGGCACACCTGCCTAAGAGTTTGGCCCCCTCATTGCTCTATGTTATACTGACAAAACCGTGCTTCTGCATGAATCATGTCTTTTTCTTGGGTGACAGCAAGCTGTACTATAAAAGTCTGCTCTAGGAGTGCTTTGCCAGTACAGTACACTTTTTAAATATATCTAGAAAAGTAAAGCTTTCCAAGGATAGATAGAGCTAACCTGTATTTGGACTCCTAATGGTGGGCTTTTTTGTCCCAAATGGATGTTTAATTTCTAGACCAACTCAGAGTGGAAAAAAGTATCTGTTTATATTTGTTGAATTAAGACCTTGTTACACATTAGTTTTAGGTAGCTCCTGGAGCTTTTAACCCCTGGATTGTCCTCACATTAACACCTGAAATTAGCACACTTTAAGGTGGCTTAAAGTTATGCCAGTCCAGGGCAAGTTTATCTCTCATCTGTGTTTCCCAGTTTATGGTTCATTAATGTGTGGGCACTTCCACACTAACCAAGCAAAGGTGAAGACAAAGCAAAGCTGCCCAGGTTGCAGTCCTCTGGCATCCTAGGATGCCGTGTCCGCACCCTGACCCTCCTGTTCTGTGTGGACAAACTTTCCACCTCACCAGCTCTGTAGTGGCCTCTCACAGTTGTGTAGGTTTTTACCCTTAATGTGTGACTGCTCCAAACTTGAGCTATCACTAACATGGATCAGCATTAGAGCAGGTCAAAGTGCAAAGTGTAACCAGACCCTAAGAATAGATTGTCACTTTATAAAATAATCTAAGAAAATGTTTTTTTGTTCACTTTTTTTATTGCTGACTGTTTTCTACTTTCTCTTTCATAATTACCAGTCCCTTGCCTCTAGCTGGTGGTCATAAAACTTATGGATCAGTTAACAGAGATACCTTGTTCTAAGAACAAGATCCTCCTCCACCTCTCTTTTTTCTCTGCACCACAATATATACTTTTATGAGATGTATATGGCAAAATAAATCTACTCTAAATTTAGAAATTTTGGTGCACTGCTTTTTGGATAACAGCTCTAAAAGTGAGACCACGAGTAGACTGCAAAGAATAAACTGAAAAACTGACTTTCATTATATAGGAGTGTACATTTATCTCTTTGTACCTCTGTACTTGATTATGATATTTTTTTCTAATGCAGAACACTTGCTTTTTAAAATCTGTACGAGGTCAAATATTTTTATAATGGAGAACTACATAATAGGTGTTAATTCTCTAAATTTGTAGCTATCTAGTTGTATAATTTCCCCCCTTTATGAGTCTTTTTACCTCATCATTACTCAGTTTACCTAACCCCTTGTGTCTAGAGTTCTGGGGCTTTAATTTCAAAGGTCCTAGAAGTGACCTCCTCTTTTGGTCCTCATGAGTGTTTCAAGACACTTGTTAAGGTGTTTTCTAGTGATGTTTCAAGCTGTTTCTTGACTTGAAGTTTTGCAACTGAGCTCTAGTTTCAATACATGACTGTTCATGATTCTTGCACTAGATTGGTGGTTCTCCACCTTTTCAGACCCAAGGCACACCTCAGAAAATGCCAGCTCTTAGCTGTCACTCGTATTTGACTACAAAAAAATATTAGAGCAATCCTTCTGATGCAAAGAACTTAGAAAGACCACACCATGTCAGAATGTTTTCAGTGCTATGGATTCATACTTGACATCTCTGTTTTTGCTATGAATCATGTGTAGGTGTTTCCACTCCTAACAATGTTACTATTACACATCATCCCACACCGCCCTTAAAAGAATCTAGAGCAGCATTTCTCAACCTTGGAGTTGCAACCCCATTTAGGGTCACAGAGATAAAAAACGGGATCTCAAAGATGCTTGACAGTGTCGGCTGATTATGCATTTAATAGCTTTTTTAGACTTTGTATTCAATGTTGTTTTTTAAATCTAAAAAGAAGTTAAAATGATTTAAAATGTATTAAATGAAAAAAATATCAAGACCATAAACATTGTAATGCCATGTTTATGACTTGTTGATCTTGTCTGCATCATTGTGGGGTTGCAAAAAATTTCAGATGTTTAAATGGGGTCATGCTGAGGAAAAGGTTGGGAAGCCCTGATGTAGAGTCACTGCACTAGAACAACTTCAGCTCCTGTTTTTCAAGTAATGAAGAATCTTCGAAGGTTGTTAATATTTAGCAGGGTGATTTCCTCCAGAATAACTTGCTTTCTTTTTAAAGTGATATCACTGTGCACTGTCTGTGCAGGAGTTGGCATCTTATACTATGTTAGTGCAGATCAACATGCTGTTGCACAACTGTATAACTTTGTCTTTGTTTAATTTACTTGTGTTTTTCTTTTGCTTTGATTTGTTGCTGACATTGCAGCAAAAGCATACTCAGGAATATGGAAAGATCTTCAAGTCTCACTTTGGTTTCCAGTTTGTGGTATCCATTGCAGACAGAGACATGGTTGCTCAGGTTCTCCGGGCAGAGGGTAGAGCTCCACAAAGAGCTAATATGGAATCCTGGCAGGAGTACAGAGACTTACGCGGAAGAGCCACCGGACTCATTTCTGCGTAAGTATAGTCACTTCTTCCTTTTCCATGTTTTCATCATCAAAGCATATTTAATCTTCTGGAAAACCAGATAAATCAGACTGGAGGACCTTCTGTTTAGAGCTTACCTGCACAAGAAACTTAGAGTGCAATAAACTAAGGTGTGAATTTATAGCGAGCTCAGTATTTTGCTCTAACTCCTCAAAGTTCAGGCATGCTAAGGGTGAGACAGCATTCTCCACTTTGGGAGTGGAGTTATCTGCCACACAAAAAGGCAGCCCTGTTGAGGACTACGATTGTCTGTCATGGGCGCTTCTACATGAAACGTTTACTGCAGAGCTGACTAATTAGCTCTGCACTAAAGCCTCTGTGTGTACATGCGTGGCCCTATTAAGCTGCAGGAAACTAATGAACTCCACCATATGTTAGTACTTGTAAACACAAGTACTGTCTTATGGTGGCATTCTTCAGTGCACAGCAACGTGTGTAGATGCTGATGGGGCTGGCGGGGAATAAGGTTGCTTCAGTGTGGGGGCTGCCTGCCAGCTAGTCCCGCACTGAAGCACCCTTATGCCCCAGCTAGCCCCTTCACAGTATGTTGAGCCAGGTTGGAGCAGCCCTGGGCTGGCAGGCTGACCCCCGCAGGCCCCCAGCCAGCCGGGGATGCTCTGACCTGGCTCAGTGAGCTGCAGTCCCAGGCACATGTGTAAATGTGGCGTCTGGGAGCAATAAACTCCAGTGCGATATGTGCCGGAGTTTATTGCTTCATATTAATTGCACGTGTAGCTGTCCCCACAGGGAATTAATAATGGGGAGTAGCTAGTGCATCCTAGTTTACTGTGCTCTGACTTCCTTGTGTGGACAAGCCCTTTATTTGTAGCTGATTCACAAAGAGTAACCTGCCTCTCAAAGCTTGTCTATAACATGATTGCACATGCTTGCGTGGGCGTGATCAACTGTCCCATGGTGTTTTTACAGTCTTCAATGATGTAAGGTATTTATTCAAAGGGTAACTAATTATTTTGAGTCATGACTATTCTCTTGCTTTTGCTACTGCACTTTTATCTTGTCAAAAGGCTCTGTGTAGTGTAAACCTGAGAATGAGATTAGTGTTAAATTCAGTCTTAAAATAATAATACAACAAAGGCCAGAGTTACAATAATGGCACCTGACCATCAAATTATATTTGGAAGGTGCTAGTTAAAGGAATGAAACGTCTTTATGGGCCAGTAACAATTTAAAACGTGCAGCAACATCATTCCAACTGGAATGCTTTCAGGAGGAATACTTATGCAAATAGAGATTTTAAAATAATCTTTAGAAGACTTCTGCTTTGCCTGCTTGAGAAACTGTAGCACATTTCCACGTGATATAGATACATAAACTGTTATCCCCAGCTGTATTTCATCCATGAGGCATGATAAATAAAATTCAAGACCTTAAGCTTTAAACACACAGGCCTCTGCAAAAGACAAATCTCTTTTGCTTGTATGTAGTTTGTTCTGTTCTATTTGAATTCTTCCCCCAAACTGAAAATAAACATTTCAGCACATCTGATTCACTCCAGGTAGAGACAGTAGTGTGCATAAACACATAGTAATAAATGAATTAGTGTGAGCCTTCTCAGTTGACACCTCCGAAGCTGTTTAGGTAATTTTTAGTCTAGGAATGATCTGCTTTAAACTCAGGAGTTGAACGGATTGTAATTTATTACAGATTTCAGATAAGCATAACTAGGCCTGATATATGAGTAAAAAATATTGTTATATTACATCAAATTATTGGTCCATCGTATCTGGTTATGTTGCTTTTGTATAAAATAAATTATACACACACATATACTGTTTTGTTAAAAAAAAAATTAAGGAAGTTTAAATGCACTGTGTGTGTATATTAATTTATTGCATTTTATCTTTGTTAATTTGTTTTATTTTATATTATACAATGATGTTTAAGAAACTAACTGCCAAATGGGTTCCCACACTTATTGTCTATGATCAAGTGGGAAACTACGCAGTAGCAGGGAACACTGATGGCAGCCCTGTCAAACGCACCCATTGTTTATGACTCCGTAGAGAAGAGATGTGATCCAGTAAATGATCAGTGTGCACAAAATGGTTTTGTTTACAAATTGGCATTCGTTTTTTAAATATCTTTGTATGCACCACTCCAGTATCTATCTGAATCCAAGATTCCATCGAATGTAACACAGTTGCCCCATAATGAGATTGTATACGTGGAAAATTTAAAACTTGTTATAATTTCCCATATATAAAATTAAATTTTTGGGGTGGGGGTGGGTCATCTCTAAATTCATTCCCTCACTGCTAGGATGGGGAAAGAAATGGTAGGGGTGAAGGACCAGATGCCTGCCCCCTGCCATGTATCCTTTCTGCATGCTCCCTGCCCTGCAATGCATGGCCCCCTCACTCTCTGCCCACCCTACCATTACTTTCTGCAGCAACTCTGCTTCTCTGGGGCAGTCAGCAGCAGTGTAGCCCTGGCCTGGCCTCAGCGCAGCCTAGCCAGGAAGAAGAGCCTGGCAATCTTGGCTGGGTTGGGGCTGGAGGGACTGGAGCTGGAGCAGAAGGTAAGGTGAAGGAGAGAAACGGGGGGAAGGGAGGCAGGAACAAACAAGGGGGAGGGAAGAAGGGACAGGCTGCAGGTTTTCTACCCACATACAGCCCATGGTCTCCCCAGGCTCCTCCCAGCTATGTGTCCCCTGTCCCACCAGATGAGCTATTCTGGCTCAGGACAGTGGGTGGCTCAGAATCATAGAAAGTGAGGGTGGAAGGGACCTCAGGAGGTCACATTTAGTCCAGCCCCCTGCTCAAAGCAGGACCAGCCCCAACTACATTATTGCAGACAAGGATTTGTCTACCTGGGTCTTAAATACCTCCAAGGATGGAGAGTCCACCAACTCTCTGGGGAGCCTGTTCCAGTGCTTCACCACCCTCCTGGTGAGACAGTTTTTCCTAATATCCAACCTCAACTTCCCTTGCTGCAGCTTGAGACCATTGCTCCTTGTTCTGTCATCTGCCACCATTGAAAGCAGTTTTGGGGCTGGGGCTGAAGCCAGAGCTGTGTCACCACTTGCCTTGGGCTGGTACTCAGGTCCAAGATGAGGCTTATTTTTTTCCCTTCTTGCTGACTGAGGGGAGAAAACCTTGTCTTGGATTTGAGTAAAGACAATGTTATATATAACTGTATCTATATATCTTATCTATATACATATCTGTATATCTATATAGATAAGATAGATATAACTCTATATCTGTATATATGTGTGTATATGTATATATGCATGTATATATACACATGTGTGTGTGTAATATTTGTGTATATATACACATATTACATTTTATCTTTTTAAATGTTTTCTATACACACACATATATACATATGTATAAGTGTATATACACACAGACACACATACACATATATATGAAAATGTGATAACATGCAAACCCAAATCTACGGCATGCCATTTTGGTCTGTTACTTTAGGTACTTAGCACAGATGTGACTAAAACAGGTATCTGAAGGCACATATATTTCAGACGGAAACATTCTACAGTTCTAACCCTCTAACAAGAATACATTAATTAAACGTACAGACTTGGTTGTGTATTGTAACAGCAACATCAGCCCAATTTATACAGTGACTTGTTATTTGCATTAAAATTTGGAGTGAAACCATAAGAATGTAGAACTTGACACGTTGAAAGCACTACCTGAGGGGGAATACTGAATTTGTTTGTCAGCATCTAATGAAAGATTCTCATTTAATCTATAGTTTCTGCTGATTTAGGAGTTGTCAGGAAGAATTGCATGCATGCATTTTTAATTACTTCTTCTAGGGAGGGGGATCAGTGGCTAAAAATGAGGAAAGTACTAAGACAGAAAATCCTAAAACCCGAAGATGTATCTGTTTTCTCTGGACCAGTCAATGAAGTTATTACTGATTTAATTAAGAGAATCCACACTCTCAGGAGACAAGAGGAAGATGGGGAAACTGTGACCGATGTAAACAACCTCTTCTTCAAGTATTCTATGGAAGGTGAGACACACACCACATAGTACCTCGAAAGAAAAAGGCTAAACCATGCAATTACAATTATCTGTTTCTGACATAAAAGTCTACTGCTATGCTCAAGCTAAACAAAATAGAAACAGAGGCCTTGATTCCATAAATGCTGCACTCAGGCAGCTCTTCCTGCCACTGAATTTCAGTAGCATTCTTTCGTCAGTAAAACCCATGCAATAACAGTTTTGTGCTAAAGGGCGCTTGCTGTTGAAGTCATATCTGCAGACAATGTAAAAACAACACCCTATGCAAAATGCTGTGGTATTGTTCACAAGAGTAGGGTAGGTAAGCTTCATCAGGATGGCCACATTCCAGATGAGTTTGTTGCATTTGGCTTGATTAAATTCTGCCACAGTCTCAGCTATAAAGAAGTACTACGCTTTGTTGTCTAAATCTGTTTGATTTGGGATTCTAACATTTTCTCCCAAAGCATCTGTCACTTGGTATTGTTGGAAAGAGAATACTACAGTAGATGGATCTCCTCTCTGAACCAGGATGGTAATGATTATGTTCATATGTAACATTTTTTTTTTGGGTCTTGATTTTCATAGAAACATGGGGCTGGAAGGGATCTCAGGAGGTCATCCAGTCCAACTCCCTGTTCAAAGCAGGATCATTCCAGTCCAAGCTATCCTGTAGAAGTGTGTCTAATCTAGTCTTAAAACTGTGTGACCACCCCTCATCCCTGACATGCAGAACCTTTATCCACAACATCAAGAGGCTAAGGGACCTGAACCTGTTCAGCCTCCACAAGAGAAGGCTGAGGGGGGATGTAGTGGCCTGTTACAAACTAGTCAGAGGGGACCAGCAGGCATTGGAGTCCCTGTTCCCCTGAGCACTACCAGGAGTGACTAGAAATAACGGTCACAAGCTGGCAGAGGGTAGATTCAGACTAGACATCAGGAGGCGCTACTTCACAGTCAGGGCGGCTAGGATCTGGAACCGACTTCCAAGCGAAGTGGTGCTGGCTCCTACCCTGGGGGTCTTTAAGAGGAGGTTAGACGAACACCTTGCTGGGGTTGTTTGACCCCAGTACTTCTTCCTGCCATGGCAGGGGGTCGGACTTGATGATCTGCTCAGGTCCCTTCCGACCCTATCAACTATGAAACTATAAGAGCACCTTAACTTGCCATAGTTAAAGCAGGGGAGTGAGATCACTGTAAGTGTCTTCCCACTGCAAGCAATATTCTGCGACTGCTTTTAAGTATGTTTCATTAATTTCTCAAAGCATTTGCTTTTCAGTAATTGAATTATATAAATCATTAGACTTTTGTGATATTTACCAGCGTTTGCTTTAAAATGTCATATGGTCTTTTAACTCACACTGCATAATGTGTTCTTATAATTATGCTAAGAGGAGTTCTGTTACATAATACCCATCAGAAAAAACCTCATTTAAATGTAGTCTCTCTCACTGTACAATAAAATACTGTATATCTGGCTGATGCTTAAAATATTGGCACTCTTTGGTGAGGACTAGTGACTCATTGAGATTTGTAACCACTTCCAGCATTGCTGACCTATGAAGCTGCTGTCTCAAATGGCTGACTACTTGGTAAGCTAACCTGGGTCTATTCTAAGTAGATAATGTCTAAAAAACTAGTGTAAGCTAAGTACCAGTGGTCTTAAGGCACTTTAACCCTTTGAGCTACATGTTGCCTTTGATTGGTATTTAAATTATCTACGTTCCTTTGAATTTTTATTTTTAACCTGCTCCCTGCATATACTGTCATTACGTATAAAATCATTTTATGCTATTTGATTATTATTAATTTAAATTATGCCCAAAGACTCCTGAGAATTATCTGGAGAAGATTCATAGATTGTTAGGGGCTGGTGCAAGATCATCGGTCCAGCCCCCTGACACTAGGCAGAAAAGACAAGGGGGGTCAGGTGACCCCAGCAAGGTGACTGTCCAGTCTCCTCTTGATGATTTCCAGGAGGAGATAATCTAATGGATAAAGCATTGAGAATTGGGAGTATCAAAAATAAACCTGTTATATGCATAAGAGTAAACTATCCTAATGCAGAACAAAGTTCAGGAGCTTAGAGACCATTATGGCTGCATAGGGAGCTCTTGAAAAGGGAGCCTATAGTGACTGGCTCCTCCAGGGCACTTGTGAACACAAAGTGCATGCACTGGTTTAATTTGCTCAGTTTTATTTTACCTCTGAATTTTTCTGGACTAATTCTACATCAGATTCAAGTAAGGATAAAGTTACACATAGACCATACTTCGGGCACTTAAAACATGAGCTTTAAAGCTCATCAGTTCATGCTAAGTGCCAAGTGAGTGCCTCAAAGTTATGCCGTTTCAGGCAACAATTAACTCTGGGTTGGAGATGAATTTATTGGAGGAATGGTGTATCAGGAACCTAGTGAGCATGGGAGTTAGGGGTACAGGCTCTGAATCAGAACTTCCTAGACCTGAAATCCTAGAGGCTCAAGTGGGAGAGGCGCAATGGAAACAACCTGGGTCACACCCTCTTCACTCTCTCTTTCAGCATCCATTCTCTGCCTCTGTGTGAGACAAGATACTGGGCAAGATGGACCTATGGTCTCACCCAGTAAATAGCAGTTCTTATGGTCTAAGTCCATCACTTTATGGGGAAAGAAAACAAGGAAGGCTGAAGTGTTCAGTGCCCCTGCTCTCCCCCTTCACCCCCCTCAATTATTTTTTTTTACTTCAGTCTTCATGAAAAATGTTTATTGGGACCAGGTACTTAAAAAGAAGATTTATAGCCATGAGAGAAGTGAGCTTGTGGAGTTGTAATAAGGGCAATATATTTACTTTTCAGGCAAAGATGGATAACTTTATCTGAGGGATTATACAGTATGTGGGCTGAGATAGTTGGGAACTGCACTGGATGGCTCAGGAGGCCCCTTCCAGTCCTATATACTGTAAAAAGGGAAAGCAACAGGTGTGATATATTACTTGGACTTTAGCTTTCTTGCAAGAAAATAGCAAATTACAGTCCAGGTAATATTATTGTAAGATGGATGCACACCTGGTTTAAAACTACTCCCAAATGAGGAATTATCAGTGGCTTGCTGTCAAACTGGGGGGCATTTAATTAGGGTCCTACAAAGCACTCTGTCCCAGGCCTGGTTTTATTCAATATTTCCTTGAATGACAGAATAGAAAATACACCTGTAAAACCAAACCGGGAAGGGTTGCAACTTCTGTGCAGCACAGACTCTTATCTTTCAGACCTAAGTTGGCTTGCTCTACATAAAAACACAGAGGTTGGTGGTAGGAGATCTAATACTTCTGACATGAGGAAAAGCAAAAAAAATGTAGCTGTAATTCTTTGTTTCTGATAATACCCACAGTGATGTTCAGTGGGTACAAACAAAAATCATGGTCCCTACCCCAAATTGCTTACAAACCAAAATCCTCAGAGTAACTAAAAAGAAGAGAAACAAGTTTTATCTTCATCTGGAGGTAATAAATAAAAACATCTGGAGGTAATAAATAAAAACATAAAAGTGCCAGCCTGGAGGCATATTGACAATGCACTCTTACCATGCAATGGACCCAGGTTCAGTTATTGACTTTAGTCCTCTCTCTCTATATATATAATCTTGACCATTTACCTACATTAAGTTTATCCACTCTGCTTACTTTGAATTAGTGTAAACTTTGCCTCACATCTCTAATAGGGATACTGTATATCTATTTTGTTATGGTTGTCAGACAGATTGTTACATATGCTATTGTTCTTGAACTGTCAAAAAGAATGATAATAGTAATTGGCAATCCGTACCTAGACGTTTCTGCTAAAAATGATCAGCAGTAAAACAACTTTGACAGTTATATTGCTCCTTAGCTTTCAGCTTCATCAGCTCAATTGAAAACAATCACACCCCTCACCTGTTGTTTCACTCTGCCTTTGACTTCAGTAAAAAATGTGCATTGACTGTTTTTGGTTTGCATCTTCCAAATTTTCTTCACAATTATAAGTACCAGAAACTTGTTTTGAATGAAAATTTAGATTCTGGACTGACCTATTCAAAAACAAGTAGGAATTTGGTGATAGTTACTGATTATGTTGTTTCTTTACAGCTCTAGTTTAATGAATCTACAGAAAAGCTGTGTGTATGTGGGTTTTTTTGTTTAAAGGAGTGAGAAGCGAGGAAAATGCGAGTGTAATGAATCAAATAAGGATTCAGGTATTAGCAAGCAAAAAAAAAAGGGGATATTAAATTTTAATGCCTTTATCATTGATAGGACAGGGAAGATCATTAAGTATGCTCTCTGATTTATAAGGGACTGTATTATTCCTAGACCATATGCAGTATGTGCTTGTCAAAATGATTAACCAGAGATTCAGGCACACTGAAGCCAACAAAATTCATACGGTTACTAATTCTAGCCCGTATCCCTCTACTTAACATCTGCTGAATGCAACCAACAGACAGATCAACAAGATGCAACCAAAGCTATACTTGTCACTGTTCAAGGACATCTTGTTACTGGCTGACTGCATAATAGAAGTCTTATTTGGACAGTGCTGCATGCTCTCCATCCAGCTAAGACTATCACCAGCTTACTGTGGCAGAGAGAATGGGAGAAAGGGCCTCTGCCAGGACAAGGTACTCTCACATCATTAGCAGATTGCATGAAAAGCTATCTGGCTTTGGCTTCCCTCACTTTGGAGATGCGCTCAAATGCAATGTGATGCCCTGTGCTAAGATTTACCAGGTCTCTGGCATCTAGGGGTATCTGCCTGGCACTGTCATGCTATGGAGGATGCCATTCAGATGCTGGACAGTTGCTGTTTAGATTTTGGGCTGCCTAGAGGTCTTCCCAGGTCAAACACTACTGATGTAGAGGCCGCTGACTGCCTCAAGACTATTTTCTGCTTTGTACACATGCTTTTTTTAAATGCTGTCTTGCTTGTTTTGCTATTTTGCAACAATGGCAGCAACAGCAACTACAGTACTTGTTGTAATTGGTCACTTTTTTGGAAGTAGGTTCTTTTCCTTTAGCTTTTAATTATGTACCATAAATGATTTAAAAATGAATAAGAACACTATAAATTCTGTGCCCTTTCTCTTTTGCAGGTGTGGCAACTATTCTGTATGAATGCCGATTAGGGTGCTTGGAAAACAGTGTCCCAGAGAAGACTGTAGAATACATTGAGGCTTTGGCATTGATGTTTAGCGTGTTTAAGACCGCTATGTATTCAGGGGTTATTCCCAAATGGCTTCGTCCACTTATTCCAAAACCCTGGAATGTTTTCTGCAGATCCTGGGATGGACTCTTCAAATTCAGTAAGATTTAAACAGAAAAGTTCAGTTTTGTCTCTCTCTAGCTGCTGCCACTGTCTTGAATGGAACTTATTGCATTTGTAGTATTATATTAAGAAAGTGGAAAAGAAGGAGAAAAAGAGAATAAAATAGGTAAAATATTAAGGGATTATTTAGCATGGTACAATAGGAGAAATAGATGAACTTTCACATTGCATTCCAGGAAAAACTGCTTGACAGATGTCAGTCTGTAGCGGAGTGATATTTTTAGAGGAGGTGTGAAAGTTTCATCCTGGAAGTAGCCTGAATGAAACATTAAAATAAGTATTCTAGGAAACAGTCCTTTGCAATGTGATGAGTTCATGCCAATAAAAACAGTCAGGACTCATAGTAGAGGTAATATCTTTTATTAGACTGAGTAGATTTTTTCTTTAAAATCCAGTTGGTCTAATAAAAGATATCACCTCTACCACAAGTCCTGATTGCTTTTGCCTCTAGATCAGTATGGCTACAAGCTAGTAGATACCTTGTGCAAATAACTTCTTTTAAATTCTTCATTTCATAATTCTATAAGCCATGTTAATTATTTGAAAGATAATGATACTCAGACTTCCTCCTTTTTTGCACAACTTTGCTCCCCATTATGCCACCCACCCTGTTTGCCTGTCTTGTTCACCTGTTGCATTATGAACTCTCTGGCAATGGAGATGTTTACTTTGTCTTTATATTATACCGAGCACAATGGGGCCCTAGTACTTGATTGGGGTACCTACATGCTTCTGTAATAAATTATTAATACAAAGACACCTGCAGTAAAACTTTGAGAAACAGTCCATGTATTATCAATTTCCTCAATATTGTTTGTATATTCCCTTACTTTATATTATCATTTCATTATTTTCATCTCCTTCTCTTACTTATTCCTTATTTGAAATCAGACCTATTTGACAGAGTCTTAAATTGAATTTACTGAATTTGACAAGGATTATTACATTGGTTTAAATAAGCTTTGGATCAGGTATTTTGTGACAAAACAATAATCTGTGCAACTAATTGAGAAGTTACAACTGAGGGAAGTAGTTGATCAGTTCTAAAGAAATGTTAAGTTTGTTTTCAAGTAAGGACACTGACTAATTAAAATGAGGGAAGATAAGTAAGGAAAAATATGACGCACAGACTTACTTGTGAATAGAACTTTTCAAAACATTGGCCTAGTTTTAAATGCAGCTATAGAACTATTGGAAGAAATAATAATTTGTTTTAATAATTTAAGTTAAAAGCTGGGGGTGTTAGGAAACAACTTAAATTTTTGTATTTATTTTATTAATAATACAGGAAAATCTTTTATTCCGGTGCCCCCAAATTATATATTCTCTAAGAGAGGTTTTGAGATTCTTTCAGATTGTTAATTTAAAATCTAATTTAATGTCTGGATCTGAATTAGAAAAACACGACTTATTAAGACATCTACGTTCAGATTCTGTTCCAGCTATTAGGTACATAAGTGGACTAAGGTGCCTGTGCCAGTGGTCCTCAAAATACAGTCCATGGCCTAGATCCGCCTTGTGGAATCAAGTCATCTGGCCCATGGAGCTTCCCACACATTTGGAAATTTAGCAGTGGGGAAGCAGTGGCAGTGTTAATTGCTGAAACTCAGGGAGCCCTAAGGCAATTAATGCTGCCACTACTCTCTCACTGTTACATTTTTGGACTTGTGAAGAGTCCCATGGGCTGAATGAGCTGGGACCACATGCTGGATTGAGCTGGCACATGGGCCCTGTCCATGGCTGGGCCTGGTGCACAGGGTTGGACTTGTCACGTGACCCTGGACCCAGCATATGGGGTCAGTTTGCAGCCCTGGACCTAGTACACAGGGCTGGTCTGTGGCCAGACCCATGGTGCAGAGTCAGTTCATAGACTGGATTTGGCCTGCAGACCTGGGCCTGTGTGCCAGATCCAGCCCACAGACTGGCTGTGCCCCTCATCTAGTCCACATGCTGGAAAGGTTTAGCACCACCAGCCTATTCTATTCTACCCTGCTCACATTCACTCTTAAGGGGAAGATGGCTGTCTGTGCAAAAGTAGATGGATGAATGAATTGTCAAGACTTGGACAGGAAATAGGATAGAATTTTACTTAGGCCTTAAGTCACCTTAGACTTAGATGACTAAGAGGTGGAATAGAATCTGGCCCTTAGTCTATACTCTTGTTAGCATAGTATTTTTTCCTACAATATATTTTCTATAGCTTTGCTTGATGCCTTATATAAAGGAGGATTCATGTGACAGGGCTTCCACAATACAGTATCCCTTTTTTGAGGAAGAAGGATAAATAATGTGAACAGCAACTGAACAATTGCTGAAAAATGCTATCTCTGTTTTGAGTGTTCTTTGTTACCTTGCTCTTTTCTGGTATGATTAATAGAATTAAAATACAGATGAAAGTTCACCAGGATAAACATGTCTTTTTTGGGAAGGGGGATTGGTGTAGGCCTCATGCAGGAATATGCTGATTATGTTGTCTCTTTCTCCCAGCATGAGTTCACCATCTGACCAAGTTTTGAGGTGACATAGTTCTTAAACTCCTTTTTTTACAATCCAGATGCTATGTGTGTAATCACCAAAGTATAGCTAGGATTAATAGAGGGGAAAAAGAGGACTGAAAAATGAGATTGGGTAAAAATAAAAATCCTTTTTTTTTTTAATTCAAAAGGTCAAATCCATGTTGATAACAAGTTAAAGGATATTCAATCCCGGCTAGAACACGGAGAAGAAGTAAAAGGTGGGCTGCTCACATATCTCCTATTAAGTAAAGAGCTTACCTTGGAAGAAATCTACGCCAATATGACCGAAATGCTTCTGGCAGGAGTGGACACAGTAAGAGACTTATTATTATCATTGTTGTTGTTTGTTATTTTCTTTTTGGTCAGTTTGATTGCTTGACAGCTAAGCTACCTTTACATTTTAAGTATTTTTTTGTTCACCATAGAAATGATGGAAAATTCTTATCAAAAGATTTAGTTTGTTCACTGAGCCAGTACAGGATTGCTCTTCTTGAATGAGCAGTTTTACTCTGAACTGCCAAAGCAGTAAGATCTTACCATTTTCTTTGGAGACTACTTCATGTTTTAATAAACAGAGCTAATTGCTAGAAAGTTTTTCTTTATGTTCATCTTGGGTTTGTTTTAAAATGTGGATGTGATCAATATTTATTGTCATTTAAGGAGGACTGCAATAGGCACATGATTGAGGTTCCTATAAAAAAAAACAAAACCCCGGTCAGAAGCTGACATCTAGAACTTGCTAATGGATTTTGCTGTTTACAATTAATCAACAGAGGAGCATTGTGGATAAGAAGCTTGACCTTCACTGGGGTCCCTTTGCATTACTTGGGTGATACAAGTGTATTTTAGACCAACACTTAAGGGGGAGGGTGATATGGATTCCATCATCAAGGAAAAAGCCTAAGCTTAGCCAGCTTTCAGCCATCCCCTCCTATTTTTGGAGGCATTCTTAGGCAGGGAGAGGGTTTAATGGGGCCCAGAGGCAGTGAAGTTTGAGTGTGATCCATGTGTTTGATGTGCCATTCTAGACAGGCCGAGATAGACTAGCCAGTGAATTAGTTGTTTTTAATATTGAGGTGCACAGAAATTGTTTCTAGTCACATTTTCCTCTCCATAGCTTCATAGCATCAGTCTGGCATACATAATAATTTCACTCAATGGCTGGCATCATCAGCAGAGAAATAAATTAGCTGTATCTTAGAATCTGTAGTTAAACAAGCTGTTTTGCATTGAGCCTAGATAGGTTTGATAAAGGGGAACACCACCATATTGGACTTCTTGTCAGTAGCCTTGAAATAAACCAGCCAGCTCATTTGCTGACAATTAGATTCAGCTTGATCTGGGTCTGGAAGAAGTCTGGACATTGTGGGTGTTGTGAAGAAAAAAAACTTTGTGGTCCCCAGAATAAAGACACACAAGGACTTATTCGATGGAGTACTTCTCAATTTATAAGCTTTCCAGAAGGTTATGAGTTTGGAGAGCTTTTCAGGCTTGTTTTGTTTTATTTTTATTAAAGTTCATTAAGTCATCCCATTAGTTTTCCAGACTTTAAAAGTACGAATTTTAACTCTTTTATAAAAAGTGAATTTCCATTAAACTGAAAGGGCAGGGTACAAGTTCATGCTAGTGGAGTCTCTTTACATTTGACTCAACCTTCGTTGATTGGCAACAATTACTTTTTTGTGAGAAATCTGTGCTTTTGGCTTCCTCATTTTTAGCACAAGACAGAAACTGAGAGACTCCTGTTTCCCCACTGCTGTCATTTCAGGTCTTGTTTTATCATAGAAACTGAAGGAACTCAAGGATTATGGAAGGCTTTGAACAAAATTGTAAGGCTGTGTTTGGCTACAAAGCATTTTGGCTGTTCTAGCATAGTGCCAGTTTTGAAGAGGATGTGAAGGAGCTGGGAACCTGAAAGGGAACACTGTTTATATCACAATAACTTCTGTATGTAGTTTGGCATTATTGCCACCTTCTGCAAGGAGGAGCAGTGCAGAGTTGAGCTCGAGTGAAGGGCAGTTTCTCTGAATGTCATGAGAACAGGAGGTTGGGACTGAAAGGAGAACTCCTGGGGACAGGACTACCAGCATTATGTCCCAGTCTGTGAATAATAACTGGCTTAAAAGGTCACTCTGATGTCTAACTTGCTTTCTAATTTAGGCTTTCTAAAAGTAAGTCCCAAAGAAATGTTTCCATGAGTTGTTCCTTTTTCCACAATTTGTTTACAACCCCAACACTGCAACATTGTGTTAGGATAGGATGCAAGAACCTGAAAGTAAAGCAAATTCGTAACAGTGAAATTATCCATGTGTTTTCCTTGTGCCGCATAAGAGACATGAATATACAAACACCATGAATAGTGAAAAATAAATTGGATTGACATTTCTTTCAGTTTTATTGCTTTAGCGTTGTTAAGGATAAATTAAGAGACTGTGACTTCACCTCCCGTACTTGTGAAGGAATACTGAATTGATGTCAGCCCTCAAGTATTTTTTTTTCTCTATAGAGAGCAATTGTGAGGGAACCAGGCTCAAAGGCAAATGTACCTTTCTGATGTAGTAATATATCTTTCTTCTTTACTCCTTCACTTTCAACACTTGGACCAGCTCGTCTCCTTCTGCTGTTGTCTCATGACTCCTTTTAAAGTAACTTGTGCCAGTAGCTGCATTATTTTTTCTCTGTCCTTGTTTTCTATTCCTATCTTTGTACAGAGCGGGCGCATCTCTGCATGATCTTAATGTGATGCAATAAACAGCAGTCCAGCTTGTGCTGGTGTTTATTGCTCTCAGGTGCAGTGTTCACAGGTGTATCCAGGACCGCAGCATGTTGAGCCAAGGGCAGCACAGCCCTCATAGCAGGGTGGCCAAGAGGTTAGCCTGCTAGCCTGGAACTGCTCCACCCCAGTTCAGCGTGCTGCAGAGGGGCTGTCTGCAGCACAAGGGTGCTCCAGCACAGGGCTAGCACCTTCGTGCCCAAGCCAGCCCTGGTCACCATCTACACGTGCATTGTGGTGGAGTAAATAACTCCAACTCCACTATTGAATAGTACTTGTGTCAAGCAGAACTGTCCTATGGCAGAGTTAATTAGCTTACTCTGGCCTAATAGGGGTGCACCTGTAGATGGTGACACTTTACTGCGGAGCTAATTAGTCACCTTCACAGTAAAGCGTCTTATTTAGAGGCACCCAGGAAGACATAATAGGGAGTTATTTGTTTTAGCCTCACAGCATCCATTTAAATGCCTATTTCAGTGGTTCTCAACTTTTTTAGACTCAAGGACCCCTCATTTGACTCAAGGCAGCCCTCCATAACTCGTTAATTGAGCAGGACCCATTTAAAAAACTAATTTGTGTATTACAGTGCTTGCCTTCTTGCAGAGGGGCAGGGCAGCGGCCAGGCAGGGAGGACCGGAGTCTGCATTTATCTGCTCGCACCTTCTTATCTCCTTGGACTTTGTTGCACACTGATTGAGAAGAACTGAATTAATTCTACACAGTCCTTCATGATAGCTAGTTTCATAAATGTGCATTTTTTCTTTCAGTTAATCTTCCATTTTAATGTAAGTACCTCCTCAATAAATAGAAAAGATGAGTAATATTTGGCTGTTTTAAACCATAATTCATAAAGCTGCTCTTCTTCCCTCCAAGTACTCCGCAGGTATTCCCCTTTAGTACTCCTTAAATTTTCACAATAAAACAAGAAAAATATGGTGTAGAATGATGCCATTTTAGTTGGGCACCAGAACTTTCCAGCTGCTAGACGGTGCATGTTACGCTGTAGCACTGCTTATTAAATGATTACATGTAATTTTGGAAGACATGATATCAATTTTTGCCAAATCTATTGTCTCATGAGACAAACAGATGCCTATATTGTATCAATTTTATGACAAGTAGGATGCTTTGAGGAGAAAGAAATATGTTTACGGTCTCTGGAAATGTTTCAAGTAATATTTCATCATTCTGCCTCCTGCAAGATATTTTTCTTGGGAGGAAATGCAGTGCAGTCACTAAAAGCCAGCAAATAATTTTTTCCATTACTGTTGATGGCTTTTGCCACATCTTATTTCGTTTTAGTTTAATTTTCTTATTACTTTTTGGTAGAAATATGGAGGGAGGAGTTTTTGTATGTGTGTTTTTCCAGGTGGAAAAGGGCTGAGGAAGATGATGATGTAACCTGACATCATGCCATAACAAGTCCAGATGTTAATCATAGCCCTTTTGTTTTATGGCTGTGCATGAATGTGTGTATAATGAATCTTCAGTTGGCATTTGACTGTTTTTCCTGGCATTAAATTAAATATTTTTATCTACTCTGGCTGTTCCTGATTATGGTGATTTTTTTTCTTAGACTTCTTTTACTTTGTCCTGGGTAACATTCTTGTTGGCAAAACATCCTGAAGTTCAGCAGTCTGTGTATGAAGAAATAGTTAATAAGTTGGGCAAGGACCATGTTCCCACTGCAGATGATGTCCCTAAATTGCCAATGATAAGAGCTGTGCTTAAAGAAACCCTGAGGTAAGTAGCAGACAAATGCAAACTGATAATTCAAAGCTTTGGTGTCTTTATTCTTACCTACTGCTAATTATTGTACCACTAATGTGTACAGTGTATTCTGATCACTGTAATATTATATTTAAATTACACTTAATATTTTCTAAGTCCTGTGTAGTTATTAATTACCATATTATCTTGTGTACAACACACCCTGGAATAACATACATACCTTGTTTTTGAAGGGCAGAATGAAGGATAAATGATCTCCTAAGTAACGGTAGCAGCAGCTAGGGAGACTGCTCATTGTTTTTCTGTTCTACGTGGACCGTGTGCAGAGTTAATTTCACTCTTGCCTGGCAGAAGCTTAAGGGGCAGAAATTGCTGTTGCCATATTTCCTTGCTTGTAACACCCACCCCAATTTCTAGCAACTGGAAAGTGTGTGTTGTATGCAAGAAAATACAGTTATTTACTACTCATTACATGTCTGCATTGTAGATAATTAAGAGTTAGACTGTGCCTTTAAAGCACTGGTTCTTGTAGAGGACTATGAAACCATACCACCTCAGCAGTGGGTGTAGGAGAAATTTTTCCTTAGAGGATATAAGGGAATTTACCTACTTCTGTAGTTCTTAAGGAAGCTACCTACACATGACTCTATTTCTTCCCTTAAAGGTGGCTAGCTCTGGGCAGTTGCTATGATTGTGGAGGTAAAACGATTGCAACTACACCTGCCTCTGAATCAGGGGTTCCTTGCAAACTAAGAACCAGCGACAACTTATTATTCCTATTTTTCAGGTGCCGATTTAAAAAAAAAATCCCAGTCATTGGCAGAGCCAGAAATAAAAGTGAGGAGTTTTTAGTTCTTAGTCTTATATTTGGACCACTTGACAAACCAGGGAGCCCCATGCTTATACTACCTCCATGCATGAAGAACTCCCTATCCACTGACTAGCTTTCTGCACACCAAATCCTGAAAATGAGGTAATGTAGCTGCCTTTGACATACACTTAAGTGCCCCTCTATAAGCATATGGGAGACAGCGCGCCAGTGTTGGGCAAGCGTCAAGTCCTGCACTAAGGTGATTATATCAGCTCATTTGAGGTGATTTTGGTGTGATGGAGAGAGAGTAAGGTGGAGGAGTGTGCTTAATGGTGCTGTTCTCCGGTACACCATGGTGGTGGTGTGGACATATCATAAGAACCCTTGGAACCTGTACTGGCCACAGTCCATTTCATGATGATTATATGTTACCTTGGAATCTAAATAGGATTTAGCTTTCCTTTTGTTAGTAATTAATGCTGAGTGTCTCATTTAACAATTGTCTGTAGGTTATTCCCAGTATTACCAGGCAATGGTAGGGTGACTCAAGAAGACCTCATTGTTGGAGGATACTTGATACCTAAAGGGGTGAGTTGTACAGTTGTCTTAAGGAGGGGGAAGGATAGAATTTTATATTTTCTTTATGTATTGAAGTCTTCATTTAAAACATGCGCACTTCCATGACTTCTTATGATTCCATCTTAGTCCGAGCTTTGTAAAGGTTTACTAGTTGTGTGAAAAAAGTGGATTTTATCACAGATTATCTCTCTCTCTACTTGAATAAATGGAAAGGTTTTCCTAACACCTTGGGGCGTGACCCTAAATTAGGTTAGGTTTCAGAACAGTAACGACGTACATTTCAGTTATTTTTACAACTGGACTAATACGGGTATCTAATTCATTCTATGGAGAGAGATTAATTTCTTTTTTAATTGTGGCCCATATCATGAGACTTACATCTAGGCGTTCCAGTTGCCCTCAATTAACAGTGGAACTTTCACTGGTGCCATTTGGAGATGTATACAAAGATCAAAGATAGACTGCATCTTTAGGTAGATACTAAATTTATACTGTCAGTCTCATAGAGAGTAACATTCTTTCTCTTTGTTGTGACAGAGTAAAGTGATCTTCAAAATGGATGTAAATTTAATTTGCTCCACAGTAAAGTCCTTTTATAATAGCAGAGAAATATACAGGAGTCTTAATACAAATAAGAAATGGATCTTCAGATTCTATAACATTGTTTATTTAAGTATCTACCTGCTGCATTCTGTATTTTGAAAACGTGATCATCTTGGTAAATGTAATTGTTTCTAAACTTTGTTTTCTGTCCTTCCCCATTCCCTTTTGCTACTCTCGTATTTCACTTGCTTTTGTCTGTTCTCTTCTCTTCTTATGTAACTGTTCTGGAGGCAATTCCAAGTCTTGAGGGTAGGGATTTATCCTGTTTGCAATTCTGCATTTTTTGTGAAATCCTGTGAAAACAGCAATGCCCACAATTTTGGCATAGAATTGCCAGGTAAAAAAAAAACTTTCTAAAAATGAAATGACAACAATCCTCTGGGCCACTGCAAATTGGCCTCGCAGTCTGCCAGGCGGGGTGGGAGAGCTGCAGGCATAAAACGTAACAGTAAAGGTCTGCTCCCTTTTGGGGTCTCTGGTGTGCCAGCTGGAGGAGCTCCAGGCCGCAGTCCAGAGATTGCGTGCCATCAGGGATGGTGAGTGGGAGATAGATTCCTACTGCCAGGCCCTTCTCCCCCTGGAGGTAGAGGGCAGACCACGGTTACCTTCCAGGACAAGGGAGAACACCTCCCATTCTGTCCAGCCAGGGGATTGGACCCAGGTGGCCAAGGGCCCCAAGGCCCGCCACACCAAGGCACCCGCCCCGCTGGAGCTTTGCAACAGGTATGAACCTCTTGCAGCCCCGGCAGAGCCTGCTAAGCTGT